TCTTCTGGCAGAGGAGCACGCCGGACTCTCTCCAGGATGGCCTGAGTTACAGAACATTGGTATCAATCCACAAAACTGGCCCACATTAAACATCAGCAAACACAGAGCATCACTGCTTACAGGAAGCTACTGGAATTCGAAACATTTCCCTCCAGTAACACGCATCTACTTCCTCCGGCTGTTTCCGGAACTCGCAGGCTTGCTTATCCAACTAACCTAAACCCACCTACTCCACCTTGGGTAGCCACCCTTACGGACGCAAATTCTTGTGTATGTGTGAACTTCCCGATGGCATACACTACCGGAAGTATGGTAGAACTTTACAATGATGAAGCAAAACTTAGGTTACAAATCCCGATGACGCATCCTCGAGCAAATAGCAGATGGATATATAGTTTCTCTTACCGGAGCTGTGCGCTCCTTCAGAAGCTGACAGTCGCTCAACTACACAAGGGGTCCCAACGAGCCCACCACTGGTCCATACCCTAACACAGACGAAACGTGTCCTCAACTTTCAACTGCATTTTCTTTAACACCCACTGCCAATGTCAGCTTCCTGCGTTTCAATATCCCTACTTTTGGTGACGAATGAAAATTATGAGGCTCCTCATTATGTAATTTTCTCAAGCCTCCTATCACTGCATATGAGACGGGAATAGCCTGCAATTTAGGGGCTTTTTACTGCTTGTGTGGGCTCTCTTAACGTATCCATGGTTCACGTGAGGCCGCTGCCAACACATATAACTGAACATAACAAGCAGCATGTCTCAGGTTCGCAGACAACTCTCTCATGGATATTAAACAGCAAAACTAACATCAGAACGCAGTTTAAGTAACACGGTTCTACAATCACCATTTAAAATTACTAAACTTTGACTTACTTGAGACAATTCAGTTTCCTCGTCTCTTCCAACGTAAGGCAGCGCCACACATCCGGCAACGGCGACGCTGAGAACTACCAGCAACATGACGAACATACGCATGATGGCGGCTGGATCAGAAGTGAGACGTTTTAATGATGTTTACTGACAACAGTCATCACGTACAGTACATACGGCCATTAAATTTTCGTATCATTCTCTTTAGGGAGGTGACGCCGTGGAGTTTGGTGGATAGCTACCTACGTTTAGTGAAGAACCTGATACCTCCAATTTCGGGATGAAAGACTCAACATGGAGACAGCAGGCCCCTCCAGACTTCGGCAGATATCTACCAAACTACACGAGGTTTCATACAAGAAGACCTCGCTCTGTATAATTTCAAAACCACAAGCAGAACTGTATATTTACTGTAGTGTTTCAATCTCGTCAATTACAGGAAACAGGTTCACCTGGGCGCCTCCGTAACAAACAAGACTGCCAGAGATGCGGCACACCTCTGCTTATGTAGCAAGTTAAAGACGTAAACAAACTAAAAGAGGAAACCCACTAAAACATTTGCGTCTGATACACGCATGTGTCAAGTCTACTGCAAAGAAGAGAGGATAGGAGCATACACTCCCCCCCCCCTCAAATTGGACCTAGCGCCGTCTATGACCTCACGCGCATTCTGAAGGCCAGCGGGCGAGGCTGTGTTCCAGCGTACTGCATTTCCGTATCTATTTGCTACGTAAGTTGCCACTCGCCCAGAACAAGGAAAACTCATTCACGTGGGATTTGAGGATGTCACAGCGGGGCCGGCTGCTGCACGCTGGTTTCTCCGTGACTTTTAATTCTACCCTGAAGATGAAGGCGACGTGTTCTTCAGAAACGCTGCGTAACTTTCAACATACGAAGTGGTGCAATATCCCACAAGACAGAATTCATTATATTGTGACGTGTACAGCCATTTTTGGGCAACAACTCGACAAGCATATTCCCGCAACAAAAGCGCTCAATATAGGTCATCCATTTTAGGTAACGGACCTGTTGGCAAAAAACGACGTTTACCCTGGGGTCCGGGCAAAGTCCTTATAAGAAGTGTTCGGCAGAACAGGAGTAGAAATAGAGCAGCAAGCAGTATAGATCAGTAGCCGAGAGTAGTCGAGTCAGGGTCTTCGCAAGTTACAAGAAAGGAATTAGAGTGTGAAAGTAGACTTCATAAGTGAGATGAAGTTACAGTGAGACTGTGATACATCCGTTGCCAGAATACGACTAGTGAAGACTAAAAATTCTACTTTGTGTGTAACGGTGAACTGGAAAGTGTGTAGAATATTAATAACACTTTATTGCCTCTAGTTCAAAACTCTGTGACTGTATAAGGTCCAATAAATCCATCATCGAATCCAAACCCCGTCTTAGGTCACCCCATACGCTGAAAATATTATCACGTGATGGAGTGGCTATAGACAGGATTTGGACTCGTAATTGGATTTACTGGACACTTACAGAAAGTAACTGCAAATAACTACGTCATTCTCAATGAATTACACAATGCAAAATTCGCTGGAACTACAACACACATCAAGTCTTATCAGTCTTCAATAACCGTTGCTCAGTAGCGGCATTCATTGACGAACGAACCCCTTACTGCGGATTCCCGAAATTTCCACGGCACGAACCGCACAGGAGATACCGCCTCCAACAATTCTTCTATTGTTGCGTACGTGTCTGTTGCGGCGACCATGTTACAGCTACTGAGCAATCGCCTAGCAACGGGGTTGACTACAGAACCGTTCCCTACTGGCTTCACAATTCTAGATTTGAGCAGATATGCCACAATATTATCGCTATAAATACGCAGCATAATATCACGAATGTGGGGGGGGGGGTTACACTACTTATTGCTCCCAGCTGGAACACTTTGGTGGGAGGAAAGACGTCGAATCCCATCAGAACAATGTGTTCTCTGTGAAGGGTCGCTCGCTCAGCAGGAGAATGTTGGAACAATCGGCCCCACGCTGGCCAGGCGATTCAACTGCCACTTACAGCTTTGTGACTCTTGCCAGCAGAGTACAGCACAATACATACCCTCCCAATTCACCGTCATTTCGGCCCGCAGTTCATTTCCCGGGTCTGTGGCTCAGCCTACGCAGTGTCGGACAGCGGCGTGACGGGGGG